ATAATTGTATTGACTAAGTTCTGCCAAGCTCCTTTTTCATTTTCCAGCAATCTTTTACCCATCTTATCTTAATTGTGACAAATTGGCGGCGTGCAAAAAACACACCAACCTCTTTCACTACGGTTCGTTGCTAGGGAATGACCTCCGCAGTGTGATTTACCCAGTGTGGATAGATAGAAAGAAGAATGCAGATCACTGAACAAGTATATTGAAGAAATAAACACAACGAGCACCCTTTCAATGAACAAATATAAAATTTAATCAGGTTATCAACAGAATTTAAAATGAAAAGAAATCAATGACTTAGTTACAAAAGAAGGAAAAATGGTACTAACATGTACTCAAATAAAAAAAGACAATACAAATTTCTTTAAATGTAAAATTACTTTCCACGTTAATATACTATCTTCATTGCCAATGAGATGTGACCTTTGAGTGCAACGATGAGAGACTTCATCACCTATTTTATGCGGACATCAAGACTTCCGTTCGTCCCTGCTCTGCCGATCTGTGTCTAGCTGTTTCGTCTTGGACTCTTGTCCGTCGAACTCTGACTTAACAATCGTCTCTGGACTTAGATTTCTGCGCAGAATTTGTTCTGGTCCTGTGATTGTTCAGGGATTTCTCATATGAATCCAGGAAAGCTGTTTCCTTCAATAAATAAAAATGTCTCGCAATAGACAATGGGTCACATTCCCAAGTATATCTATATTTTACATTAATTCGGCTCAGAAAACAAAAGGCATAAATTCTGCCGCATGAACGTTACCTAACTCTCTGTTTACATAGTCAGTCAATGCTTGTCCTGACCTTAATTCGGGTCACGCTAGGGATGGTCAATTAAATTCAACTCAGCCGTATGAACCCGTATGTAACCCCCACTCGACTGCTGACTCTACCAATCTAGCAGTCTTAAGTTACATATGCTTAGACCCTCAGATCTAACTATTCTAAAATAGTTTACTCGACCAATTAGATATTACAAACTAGCATATAGATATACACTTAAGTGATCAATTAAATATTACAAACAAGTATATGAATATACATGTAATGTTAGGTCATACTCATTTTAGACAGAGTTAATCCATAAAACTATGAAATATTACCCATCATTCCTTAAATCATTCATGAAAATTCATAATCACTCCTATGTATTAAAGATTCAATTACATGCAATCTTTTCAACTAATCTAATGAAATTTTAATTACATTCACTCTTGCCAAATCTCCAAATGAATTGATAATTAGGAAATCAAAGAATAAAATGCCATGACTAGCATTTCACTATAATCCTGCAAAATGAAACCGTACATATATATCATATCAAGAATACATTTTCAATATATACCACTAATGAAATAACATATTAAAATCGGGAAACTAAGATTGCGTACCTTTTGCCGTTTCTTTATTCGTTTCCACGCATCTCACGTATAGTTTGTCTCCTAACTGAGAGAACTATCTGGCCCCTTACTCTATAATGAAGACGTACTTTTTACGAATTCAAAATGTAGAGTTTGCCTACTTGCTGAGACAAACTCTCGCTTCACTGCCAAATCACGAGATAACGTCTTACACGATCTCCCGGAGTCTCGACCACTCTTTTTCCAAGAAAGATTGAAGACTGCTGAATTTTCCTAAAGTAAAACCTTTAATTTTTTACAGAGTTACGCCCATAAATCCATATTAACCAATCGGAATAGACTGTTTCCTAAACCTGTTCGTAGAATTTTTGGATTGACAAGAAAACTAAACAACTAATCATGCCGTAATTAATCATTACTTTGAACTATTATCTATAGCCAGCTGCTGCCTTTAACCGGTCGATTTTGGGGAAAGGTCTTATGTCATTCTCTTGTACCATAGCATCTGACTCGGTCATGTTACGTCGGCTAGAACGAATTCCCTTTTGACGTTCAGAGATGAAATGAAAAATAATCATCTAACTATCTCTAGCCCTTTCTACTTTAATTAAGTTGACTTTGATACAATTCATTTAAACAAAGCTTCTAAGAGTTTTCAAAATTCGACACATCACGTTAATTTACCTAATAAATGAGAATATATGTATCATATTGAGTCTTCACTCGTTCTCTGGGACTACTAATATATCACGTTTAATTCTCTCTACTTTTCCACCCCATACAAATTTAAATAATGTACGATTTAGTTCTGCTTCAACTTTGGCTGATGGATTTGGAAGTGCTGAGAAAAGATGTGTAAATATGGGTAGAACAAGAGTTTTTTTTTGCAGCAATTACCTTACCAACTACTGACAGATGTCTTTGACTCCAGCTTGCCAATATTCGTTTTACCTTTGTTAGTTTCTTTATATAATTAATTTCCACCATTTGCTGTAAATCTGGCGAAAAATATATGCCAAGGAGTGTAAAGTTTGGGGAGGACCAAATTAGACCCATTTTGGGACATATTCGTTCATTAGAAAAATTCTTGTTTCCAATCCAAATGGCTTTCGTTTTTGTTATGTTACATTTAAGTCCAGATAATAAAAAGAAACCTTGCAAGATATTCATAGCTGCTTTACTGCTTTAAGAAAAAGTTGAGATCCATCAAGAAGAATAAAAACGTCGTCGGCATACTGACCTAATTTATATTCATTGACATCCAATATCAGTCGCCGTACATCCACATTTTGCTTTAAAGTTATATCTAAAATCTCAACCCCATTAATAAGCAAGTAAGGTGCAAGGGGATCTCCTTGACGACATCCTCTTTCTAGTCTAAAAAAGATGACATATGCCTATTATTTATAACACAGCCTTTAGAGTCATTACAAAACAGTCTCAACCACTTACAAATAGAATCACCAAAGTTGAAAGATTGTAAAGGTCCATTCAATTGAGTCAAAGGCTTTTTCAAAGTCTATTAGTAATAATAAACCATATCTATTTTCATTTTCAAGTTGATTCATGATATAGCATAGTAGCCTGGTATTTTCTCTAATAAATCTACCCATCATAAATCCTTTTTGGGTATCACTGATTACTGAGTGAAGAACTTTTTTGATCCTGGCTGCAATGGCTCCCGAAGCAATCTTATAGTCAATAGTTAAAAGTGATATAGGTCTCCAATTTTGGAAGAATCTTCTATTTTTTTTTGTTCCTTTAGTAGACATATTATGACTCCTTGAGTCTGAAAACTTGTTTTCCTACAGTGTATCCGTAATTTATTGATGTGCTTTAATAAAGCTCAAATATTTAAATGTTGCTGAAATGCACCATTGCTCTTTAGGTGAAAATGAACTTGCAATATATTTTAATATTCACTAATGTTATCTTCGAGAAGCAGAACTATGCACATTGCTTACTTATGCACATTGCTTACTTATGCACATTGCTTACTTATGTATTGAGCTACTCTTCCTGGGGCTGTCAAGAAAATCAAGGGTGGATATAGAACACACGGTACTAATTTATTGAAAAATGGGAACCAGCCTAGAAATACGTGAACTTTAAATAGAGTATATACGGGTTTGGCTGACCAGCATTGGTTAATGTAATTTATGTTGTAGGAAAAAGAATCTTTTGAGACCTTATCCTAGTCGAAATTAAATAAAAATAGGCATATAGTTTTATTGATGGAATTTCAGTTCTTTAATAGTCTTGAGTTTGGATCACTCATTACTAAAATTAGCACTCTTTGGTGCGGAATTGAAAGCACATGTTTCAAACATATGCAGCTTCAGAAAATGCCGCGGCTCATATCCTTTCCTCTGCACAGAAGCTGACTTCCAGGTTTCATCAATACTGATAAATATAAGTTTGGTAATGAGCACTCCAAAATAAAGTTATTGAATTTTTAATATCATGGTGTTGCATAGGTTTACTATGGGAACTGAATTAGTACCGTGATTCCTAAACCACCTAGCTGATGGGAGGGAGTACTACAACATTGGTAACCTTCGCCTGGTTTCGGCCCTTTGGTTCTCGTGTTCTGGACCTTTGGGCCATCATTGTCGCCTTGTGCGCCACTTACACCACTGGTCCCACCCGTGTACCATTTACCCTTAGTAAGCCTCCGTACGAAGATTATTGGATTATTCGGAATAAAACATGATTGAGTTTGTGCACTATAAATGGACAGCGCCTTAAATTTGACTGTGCAAAGAACCGGAACTACCTCATGTTAGATGTTTTGGTCACGTTAGTTATCAATCCATAGCGCATTTATTGCTGCTCCACTGCCGTAGCAAAATGATTCGTTGTACGTGTTCAATCGTAGCTTCTAACCTATAAATAGCTGTCAGCCAGCTCGCTTTTGAACACACACACACACATATATATATATATATATATATATATATATATATATATATATATATATATATATATATATATATATATATATATATATATATATATATATATATATATATATATATATATATATCCCTGGACGCCTGGCCTTGTCTAAACAACCATTTTCAGCGGTGTGTTGTTTTTACCTACTGCTCTATGTGTATATAATCAATACTTACCAAAAGAAAACTGACAGCTTTTATTATCGCCTTTCAGTTAGCGTGGGTTGGAATGAATTAATTTTAAATACACAAGCCTCGAAAGAGGAGCATTGAAAGTTACCCTTTAATTACGTCGTTACTTAGGTCTATTTTTGACCTAGTGGAGTAGTACTTCGTGACCTAATCGCAATGCCCTATCCACTTTCCATTCAGCTTTACAGACTTGAGTTGACTTGAAAAATTACTTTATCGGATTGCAGTCTAAAACCGAAATGTTTTGTCTTCAGCTCGTTACGTGCAAATTAATGACTATGCTGCAGTCATATCGTCACCATTTCTTCAACGTGACAGTTTATAGTGATGTCAAGCGCCTGGGCATCGTGTCGCAGACATATATCACCATGTTCTACCCAGTCACATTATCCTGACACAAGGCCGACAGGTCCTAACACTGACCTCTTAATGCTCAGCGCTTAGCGAGGCAGCTGTTAGTACTATTTTTAATAAGCCTTTGGTATGACTCAGTCGGGGTTCGAACCTTCAACCTCCAGCATCCGATGCGGGCGCTCTAACCACTAGGCCACTGGAGCGGTCTTTTTTGCATGACAAAAGAATAAAACAAACTTAATTTTGAAAACAGTAAAAAAAAACAAACAAACAATATAAATTATTTTTCTGTCACTAATAAGCCCCTTATTGATGATGTGTCACTTTAGCGTTCTTCACGATCGCTTCAGATGTCATGAAGCAATTTTTTTCTCAGATGGATATTAGTCTCTCTGTCTCTCTGTCTATCTCTCTGTCTCTCTTTCTCTCTGTCTTTCTATCTCTCTTTACACACACACACACACACACACACACACACATATATATATATATATATATATATATATATATATATATATATATATATATATATATATATATATATATGTGTGTGTGTGTGTGTGTGTGTGTGTGTGTGTGTGTGTGTGTGTGTGTGTGTGTGTGTGTGTGTATCGATAATAACGCGCCCCTGCGTGATTGCGCTTTAAACCCATTCAGTCCAATGAGTAATATCATTTTCAAATTTATCTCAGGTTAGTCTGGAATAGCTTTGTAAATAACTGTTCTTAACGACAGATAACAGCGAGTTATCGAGTCGAGGCTCGTTATGTGTATTGTGAGAAGGGTTACCGGTGTATGATTTTATCGATCGATCTGATCACTGAATACACAATGCCGACTAATTTATGACTACGACTACAGAGCCTACCTATCTACGGTACTACCCACCTATAAATCTCGAACTGTAACAGACGTCGGATGTTTGTGCCTGTTATTCTGCGTACTTATTGGATTGCGTACACCTCTACTAATTTGGCGAGGAGTTTTGAAAGAAAGACTTTCTCCTGCATCGAGCTGAGGAAAGGACAACCATGGCCGTCAGATCGAGAGATGCAAAGGACGTTTCTCGTCTAGTCACCAAGAAACTGTAAGTAGAAATATTTCTTAAGGAGGTGATGTTACGTGATGACCATTCCCGTAAATCGCATCGGGCAATCTGCCAATATTACTCGTAGGAGATACGTCGTCCGCAAAGGACGATTAAAATAGAATGCTTCACAGATACTTTTAGGAAGGGGTAAATTCTAAATATCAACAATAAGCCAAGTTTAAAATTGTGTCTAGATATTCATATGCAAGGTGAAATACATAAATATATAGCTTAACAAAAGTCGTCGTATGACCAACTTTTGACGTATTGAATGTATATCACACCGTCTTCACGACAAATCAGACACGTATCAGGCAATTTCTAGGCAATTTTTCCTACTTTCCGTTCTAAAAATAAAAGATATATTTATTACAATATTTTAACGATGAAATTATTAAGTGTGTCACTAATACAACAGTGATTTTTTCCATACGCTGCACTTCTAGTTACATGTCAAGAACTTATTTAATGTTTTATCGTTACTCTTTTTTCTGTTGATTCAACTTTATTTTTTCTGTATGGAAACTGTATAGAGTACTTTATATGGTAGCTATTTGACATTGATGTCAGACATACAGTTACTATGCGCAAGTTGAGTGTGATGCATGATGATTATGTTCCAATTAGATGTGACATTTGGTAACTATGTGCCAATGGGGTGTGACATGGTAACTATGTGCCAGGGGAAGTGTGACTTACTTTCTTCCAAGCTGGTTTACAATGCTACAGAATGCAAATCATGTAAAACCTAGTGTTACATAATTAAAACCCAGTGTTACATCGTTAAAACCTAGTGCTACATCATTAAAACCTAGTGTTACATCATTAAAACGTAGAGTGTTATGGTATGAAAATGTACAGTGCTACAACATGCGAAACGTATAAAAAAAAAGAAACCTACCAGGCATGGAGATCTTAAAACTCGTGTTTTGGTTTGGGATTTTGTTTCAAGCGATCACAAATGACGTTAATTTTGAAAAGTCGTTTATATCTGGTTGATAGTTTAAATTAATTCTTAAATTCATTCTCGGAGTTGATTGATCTGTGGCATTTTTTTTTTTAACATTTTCCGTAGTCACTGTGCCAAGAGCAAATTGCAAAGGGGGTGGGGACGTACAATTTTGTTCCTAAAAACATTCGCATTGTACCGTTTCTTCATGAGGTCATTTTTTTATATATTCCGCTTTCTGAACATATCATCAATATTAACACATTATAGAATAAATTTGCATGTTCCATAAAACACTGATTACAAGGATGGAGGGGCTCCATTTAATACATTTGTCTGGTATGACATACCCATCAAAACTAAGCAGCAGCGTGAGAGACAATCTCACACAGTCGTTTAGTCAGTCTACTGCCCTTGGGACTCTTTTCTATCTCACTTTTGGACTCCAATTAAATCAATCATGATTTGTATACCAGCTAGATATGCATCCGGCTACTTGCAGTGCCGTTGTCAGCAGTCTGTCTGTCTAAATGAATGATTTCTAATAGGATATGCAGCCCTGGCCTCGTGTATAAACGTCAGGTTGACGAGACTTTAGGGCAGGGGAGTGGAATGGGGCGGGGAATACCAAGTTAACATAAGGCAATATGCATTTGGCTGGTTGGTAGAATAATATATTTGTCAATTCCTTACTAAGTCTTCACTTTATACTGGAATGAATTTGAAAGTACCTCTGTAGGTAAGAAGACAGGATTACCGAAACGGTTCGTTCTGACAGGTTGTAATATAATCCAAAGATGTATTCTACAGGTCAATCGGTGTGAATGTGGCCTTAAAGTTCAAAGATAAATGGTTCCTTCAATGCGGCTTGTGGAATTTGGAACAGACTTCGGCACAATAATATTCAACCGAATAATCTATATCTAAGTTAGTTATGCACTACTACGCTAATAATATCAGACATAAAGCAATAAAGGCACTGTTAAAATGCACATTTATTTAGGTCTTCCTTTTGAAGTTCAAATTCTTAGTCGGAAATACACGAGTGGTTTTTTTTTTTTTTAAGATGTCGCATAAACCATAATAGCCGGTTGTTACATGCAGCACTTTTAACGATAGTCATCTTTCATCCTTTCGATTAGACGAATGTCTGATCTTTGATTTCGTTTTCCTACGTGTATTTTGTATCCGTTTAACACCCCGACAAATTGAAAAAAAAAAAACTGCTAAAATCTCGCTGATTAGAACCATGGTATGGGATCGCTCCTGTGGCCTCATTTTTAGAGCGTCCGACACTGATGCGGAAGGATGGGGATTCAAGCCACGGTCGAATCATACCAAATATACAAAAATGGTACTTACAGCTGCCTCGCTACGCTCTCAGCATTAAGAGGTTAGTGTTAGGAAGTCACGTGTCACGATGATGTGACTGGGTGGGACCTCATGCTGCATGTCCTTGGCATGATGCCCCAGTGCTAGACCTCAAAATAAACTGCCAAACTGCAGAAATCGTAGCGATATGACTGAAAATTGTTAATGCTACCTTTAAAATCCAACACACACGCGCGCGCGCGCACACACACACACACACACACACACACACCCTATGGCTACGCGAGTGAAGGATTAGAAGAATTTTCTGCCTGCCGTCAGGCGAAGAAGGCACCGTTCTTTTTTTTTTCTTTTCTTATTTGCTTGAGGTTTTTTATATACTTTTTTGTACCTGACATTTTTATAGTATTTTACTTTCACTGCAGTCTAACGGGGTTAGTTCTTCACAAAACTTATATTCATTTGGTCGATAGCTGAAATAAAGATGCAAAGATGAAGTGCACTAAAGAACATTGCTCCCAGGCATTTCGAACCCTCGCTACACCGCTGAAGGGAACTCTACTGCGTATGCCAATATTCTTACGCAATATCTGTTTTTACTGGTTTTACATGTGACTAGAAGTCCACTGGGACACATATCTGAGTCCACTAGGAAAACTGATATGCAAATTAGGTTTCCCGCCGTTGTTTACGCACTTTTAATTATGATCTGAACATCGCTCGGAGGAAATCGCCTGATCGCGAAATTACATTGGAATCATTAGACATAAACACCAATTTGATGTGTAGGTGATTCGCTTATTGCTGAAAACACTACACATGGTACAACAGCAAGGGACGAACATATTTCGATTGTGCCTTGTTACTTGTGTTATGTTTTTCGATGTGAACGAAAGTAGTTCAGAATATGATTCTTAATGGCCACGAATTTCTTATGGGGTTTCTTTCTTGACGTGAAAGAAAATGCCGATAATGTTAAGATGACTGCGATCAGAAGACCGTTAACAGCTGAAGCTAGTTATCTATTAGTTACACATTTAAAATTATTGAACAGATGCGCGTATAATTCTAGTATTTCGATGGGCGTGGTCCTCTGGGCCCCCATGAAGGTTTTCATTCTACAGATCCCTTAACTATTTGGTTAAGCCCCCCTCCTATTGGACAACATTATCTAAAGTTCCACGACCTGAAATAAAATGTTACTGAAATTATCCCCAAAGTCTATGTTGTTACCTCTGTTTAAAAGAGTGGCAGGGTCAATAAAGTAAAAAAAAAAAAACTCAACAAACTAATCAGATGTACCTTACATTTTAATGCTCGTAGAAACCAGCAGTGTTAAGTTCCATTCCTATGATATGTTAAAGGAATAAGTGGTTTGAAAAAGGAATGCTTTTTATTAGCGAGAAAAATTTCTAATAAATACAGTGGTTTTAAATGACTGAAATGTTTATTACAACTAGAAATCAAAATGAATAAATAAATTGATCAGTACATTTTGTACATTATTTGCAGGCGTAAAAATACTTGTGTAATCCGTTTAAATAGTATATTGTACAGATCAGGTACTCTACCACAACGAGTTAAGTGCCTCGAAGCTCCGTTGGCAAGACAGAGATATTTGGTGAAGCAGAATAGGAGAGGTATATCCCTCGGTAGTTCTCACCCCTGGTTGCACACAAACAAGTTTTGGACGCCGGACGTACTCCGATATTTGCTGTTTGTATTTTTCGTAGGTATTTATTATATAATTTACGTACTTTGTAATTAATCATAGGAAAATACTAATTAAATATGTTTTGCGTGATAATTTGTGCTAGGGCACAGGGATAGACTATT